ATGCTCATACGCTCGCAATGAACGCATGAGTCATCCACGAACGCCGCTTCAGCGTGTTGGATGCCCAGACACTGAAGACAACGATCGTGTCCGTCATCAGAAGACAGGTAACAACCGCAACCAAGAGGACACGGACAGAACGGCATCTTTAAAAAGACGCGAACTATCCGTGTTTAGGAAACTGCTCTTTTAGATTGAAGTGGCCAGGGGAATCGCTGACGACAGGGACACTGCTGTTCGCACCGTAACGCCAACTCAGAACAGCTATCAGTCAAGTGAAGAAAGGCTTTGAGGAGAATAGCACTCTTCATCCACTCAGCTCCGAAGCAAAAATCTGAAGATTGGATGCACCTGTCGCCTATTTATACCCGTATGCACGGGGAGTGGCTCAGGTATGCAAATTCCACTAGCCAAATTTCATTGGCGTTTTCTCTTAAAGTCAGAGATGATTGGGGCTCCCAGGCGAACCCCCATAATGTCATCACGACATAACTTGTAGTGACCGACAGATAGGGAACTAAGACTATATCAACATGCAATTTCGATGACGAAATAAGGCTAGACTAAAATGTATTCAAAAAGATAAAAACTTTACCAAAAACCTCTTTTTATTTTCGTCAAAAATGTTATTGCAGACTGCTCTTCACGCCGCTACTTCGCAAGCTTTCATGAGTGCGGTTGCCAGATATCAAGAGTTCTAATCCCCGAATCAGAGCTTCGCTGTTAAATTCAGACATTTTCTGTCCGGTGTGTTTTGCTTATTTTAAGCAATCTGGCAACCATGCGCACGCACTCACTCCTCATTGGGGAAGCGCTGCCACAGATGATCTGAAAAACAAACAAGCTGGAGTTTAGCAATCGTATGGCGCTTTTCCACTGCGTGGTACGACTCGGCTCGGTACGGCTCAGTACGGTACGGCACGGCTCGGTTTGGCTCGGTTTGCGTTTCCACTGAGGTTCAGTACCGCTTTAGAGTGGGCGGGATTATTCACATGTCGTTATAGTTGCGCCGCCTCTACTGCCGCGACTACTAAAAAACTTTTTCATTCCGGGTCACCCCATCAAGCTCTCGCTGGATCCGCTCCTCTGCTATCAACGAGAGGAACGTCTGTTCTTCCTCAACAGAGGGAACAGACACTTTTTGGTTGTTAAAAAAAAAGGTGCGCTCGTTCAAAACAGTTGCGTTCTATCCTTCGCTGGCTGTGCCGTACCGAGCCGTACCATGTCGTACCATGCAGTGGAAAAGCGCCATAAATGAAAGCGTCATTTAGCCGGTCAGTGTTCTGTCATGAGATCTCACCAGAGCCGGTGTTGTGCCGAATTCTGCACCCCTGCCAGATTATGCACCCCTCGTTAAGGTCGCTACCTGATTGCCTAATCCCAACCCCACCCCTAATCCTAACCCCTCCCCAACACCTACTCCTAAACCTACCAATACTAGGGGGTGCATAATCTGGCAGGGTGCAAATTTCGGCACTACACCGGCCCAAGGCATAAGCGAACTAAGCGGCTGCTTAGGGCCCCGTGGCCACCAGGGGGCCCCCAAGAGTACATGAAATGGCATGATTTTTTTCGGAGTATCTATTTACACTAAGTGCAAATAGCCCGCCTTGTTGGCAGAGGCTATTTACATTAACTCCGCCCACCAACGTGTGATTCGGATAGTGAACAATACAAAAGACAGTTGACAGTCATCAGCTCCAGTGGCGCAGAGAGTAAAACGTGTGACTAAAGGTCTCTGCACACTGAATCCAACATTTTCGTATTCGAAATCCTAAAAATTCGTCATGCACAGAAATATTGCACACTGAGTCCGATGCGTATTAATTAATCCGTTGCGAAAAAATTCGCAAAACAGCACTAAATGGAGTCTTCAAGCAGTGAGGATGATTTTGTTGTCCTCTCGCTTCTTAAAAAAAGAAAAAGAAAGGAAATATTGGGTCCATCCAATCCTGAGATATAGAGAAGACGGAGAGTTCAGGAGCAGTGGGATTATCACGGGCGATTCAAAGTTTACTTCAGGATGTCAGTAGCTCAGTTTGATGCTTTTGCTAGCCATACTAGAGCCACATATTAAAAAGAAGACCACCAATTTCTGTGAACTCAGTGTGCAAGGATCTATATACAGTATCTATATACCACAAATTTCTGCAGCAACAGAATCAGTTAATCAGCTCTCAAAAGCATCAGGTGTTACATTAAATATTAACAAATGTGAAATTCTTGCTCTGCATGATCAACCAGTACGCTTATAATTAATAATATAGTTTAAAACAGAAGTCAAATATTTGGGCATTACAGTTACATGAAATAAAGAAATATGGGAAAAAGAAAACATCCTTAAATAAATTTTGTGTATCAAATATGACACAACAGAGTTTATGGTAAATACAAAGCTATCAATACTTATAGGTGAGAGTGATTGAGAGCATTATAGTTTTTTTAATGTAATTATTTCACTACACACTGAGTACAAAGTGTCTATTTGTCATAGTCATGTCTGTTAACTCTGAGACAAAGCCAGAGATGTGGATGTTTGAAGATATGGCACAACAGATCACACTGGCCAGACAAACAGCAATAGTTAATTACTTGCTGAGTAATGCAGATTTAACAGAACATACTTCTCAAACCGAGATCCTTTCCTCTTTAATGTTAATAAATAACCTTGAAAAAGTCAAAACCATGATTGTGCTTTCACAATTGGGTTGTCATTTTGCTAAAAATGTCATGTATTTATTGCAGTTTGAACACAAATTGCACTGGGACACTGGAATTATTTATTCATACACATATTTTGTATAATGTATAGTGGCCTATAGGCAATTCAGTTCAAATGCTGCCAGAAGTGAGGCTTCTATTCCAAAATCTGTCCTGCCATTGTAATTTTTTTTTTTTTTTTACATTCGGTATTATCAGCCACATAGTGTACCCACTGTACAGTTTGTTTGTTATATTGAAATATGCAGTTGCATACATTGCTTCATGATTATTTATTATTGCTTTGTTCGTGTCATTTCTTCATTTCCCAAAAATGATGCCGCCCCTGAACTGATTATAAACTTCTCTACTATTTTAAACGATGGGTGCTCATCCAGAACCGTATGGACGGCAGTGTTGATTTTGGCAGGCGTTGGGACGACTACCGAAGAGGTTTTGGAAATATTGCTTTTGATGTGGGCAAAGGCCACTGCCAGACTCCAGGTGAGCTACAGCTGGCAAATGATATGTTGTGGTTCTGCATGTGGGAGTTTAACTGATGAACCTGAAATATCTAGCCAAGAACTTAAAATTCAGAGAAGCATTGCATATTATGTGGTTAAATCCTGCAAAGATGGGTCCCACTGAGCTTCTGGTTGAAATGGAAGACTGGTCCGGTTCAAAGGTTTATGCTCAATATGAGCAGTTCACTGTGCAGGGCGAAGCTACCAACTACATTCTAGCAGCTGGACGTTACTCAGGAACAGCTGGAAATACATTATTGGATGGCGCAACAGAACTGTTTGGAGAGAACCGTACCATGACCATCCATAATGGCATGATGTTCAGCACCTACGACAGAGATAATGACAAATGGTGCGTATGGTCCTGAAAGTTTGTCCTAATGGTGTCCAGATTGAAAACTGCATGGAAAAGCTGCGCAGTATCTAATATGTTCTTTCTCCCTCCAATTGTCTTAACAGGATACCTGGAGATCCTTCTAAACAATGTTCAAGAGAAGATGGAGGAGGATGGTGGTACAACCTATGCCACTCTTGTAATCCTAATGGGCGATACTACTGGGGAGGAGCTTAAACAAAATACATGGCCAAGCATGGGACAGATGATGGCATCGTGTGGATGAACTGGAAGGGCTCATGGTATTCGCTCAAATCTATCAGCATGAAGATCAAACCATTCTTCAAACAGTTATAAAACTTCAAGTAAATTGAAATGAGATGCAGTAGATGAGATGCAGATGTGTCCACTCTTGAGTACATCCCCATTCTGTGGCACTCATTTAATTTAAGCTATTTGAGAATAGGAGGAGAATAAAACCTGAACCTAAACATTTCAAGAGACCCTCTTCGTACATGCATAAAATTGAGAATTAACTTGAAAAGTTTGAGACTATATTATTGAAAATGTGTGTGTGTGTGTGTGTGTGTGTATATATATATATATATATATATATATATATATATAGAAACACAATCCACCTAATTCTCATAAAAAGCTGACCTACAAAGAAATTACATGTGTCTTTTGTAATTATGTAATGTATTGCAATTTTGAGCATTTTGGCACTTTTGGGGACTTCATGAACATGTTGGCCTCTGTCTACCTTTAGAAAATAAACTTTCTTAAAACACTTTTCACACTTCTCAAGTTTATATGCATCACAGGAGAATTCTGTAATCTTTGTCATGAAAATTTCCACTATATCTCAAATTGTGTTTCCAATCTGATAGAAATGACAGTTTAAAAGACAGTTAAAAAAAAAAAGAAGAAGAAGAAAAAAGAAAATTCCTTGTTGATGTTGATGCTTTTGTAACAATTGTATGTATCCTAAACACAAGCAATTAAATAATAATTGTAAATGACACCCAAATGGCTGGAAATGACGCACATTAAAATATTTTTGCTCACAGGTGATATATACCTTCATTTTTCTTTAACAAGTATACTAACTTAACAAAAAAAGTTTGTTGTGGTGGAAACATTGCAGTTTTAATGTGACCTTTATATATGTCACGAATCCGGTCCGTGGTCTTCCACCTGCTCGCCACCAGAGGTCCGCCTTCTGATTACATTGACTCTCACACCACACAAACTGTTGCACGTCACCCTGGACTACATTTCCCATGCTCCATTGCACTGATTGGACTCACCTGCAGCCAGTCACACACACACTATATAACAACCACTCAAATCCTTCTCTAATCGCTGAGTATTGTCTGCGTTTATCACTCTCCTAGTGGTAGCACTTTACGGAGCCAGTATCCTGTCTGAGTTTAGTTTAGTTCCTAGTTCTAGTCCTGTTTCATAACGTCTAGTTTTGCCTGATTGTCTGTTCCTGATAACCTGCCTGTCTTGGATTTCTCTCTCGTCTTGTTGTTTGGATTCTGTTCACACCTCGCCTGGATTAATGTCTGTCTGTGGATTACTCGCCCACCTCATCCTTCGGATTATGTTCGTCATTGATCGACCTACACCTGTTTATTGGATCACTCTTCTGTCTTGCCCTCTAAATACCTGTTTGCCATTGTCCGACCCTTGCCTGTTTTGACTTTGTTTAAGGATAAAACTTTGCAGATGGATCCGCATGTCTCTCGTCTCGTTCGCCCCGTTACAATATAGGCTACTTAACTAAAAGAAAAAAAAGTGAAATCGCTAAAATCATCCACTGATACATGAAAGTGACCAAAGATACATCTATACACAAATAAAAATATTCATAGTCAACTTATTGCATATTTTCAAAAACGTTAAACAGTTTTGAGATTTTATTGAGGTATTTAATACATTGTGTTTGACAGGCTCATTCCTGCTTGTTCGTGAAATGGCATTTTGTACAGTCTTTCATTCACATTTGCAACTAAGGCACAGCCATAGTACTACAGCCTCTAACAGTATACCTGGAATACTGGACATAAGTTAGATGTATACAGTAAAAAAAGAAGGTGAAACTGAAACCGTAAACGTGATTTTGCACACAGTAGTCTTTAAATAAATATGTAGTAAATAGATAACAAATAAGCTACAAGAAATAAGGGCAGTATTTTTCAATATACTACCCATATGCTACTAAACCAAACACAGTGTCAGATAAAAAATAATCACCCATATTACTAATCTAGATATAAATCTGATTAAATATCTTCCAGGAGTTCATCTAAAAATACCTGATGCTGCTCAATGTCTTCAAACTTTGTAAGCAGCTCAGTGCGAACAATGGGAATTTTCCGGTAAGAGGGGGACACACTGGGCCGATCAACAGACTGAAGTTTTAGTTTATTGTTTTTGGAGAATGATTTTTGCCTCTTTGAGATAATGCTGAACTCCTCCATTTTGTTCTCCATAGCTTTGAAGGCTTCGTTATCAACGGCATGGTCAAAGGTTTGCTTGCATGATCCTTTGCATGCACGGATTTTGATGTCAATGTCCACCTTCACTCCAAAACTTGAACAAAAACAAGTCTGAATCAGGACAAAAGTTACATTTCAACTTCAAGCAAATAGTGAAATCCCTTACTCAAACGTTTATGCAGAACATTTGATCAAATATATTGATTATGTGAGCCTGAATTTACTAACTTTCCAGTCAATAAAATAAACTGCAGTGGTTCTCAACCAAGGGGTTTTAATAAACTTCCAATGATACAGCAAAATACCTTTTTTTTTTTTACCCCTTAGAGATATTTATTCATGCTATGAAGGGGGACCTTCAAATATTGATTTTGAAGAAGGTTGAGAACCACTAATATAAATTATTTTGGCACATGTCTTACCTCAATTTGACGGATTTCATTTATCTGATCCCAGATCAAGTGATGGTGCTTCTGTAAGTCTTTTGCAAGTTCTGTAGACCGCTTGTGCAGAAATGTTACATTCTGTGAAGGGCTTCAGCAAACTCAGCATATCTGAGCTCCTGCACTGCACAGAGAAAATACCATGAGGCCACCCTTATGTAGTTTATGTAGGTCTATAAAGCCTTTTGTTCCTATTAAATACTAAAATTGAATATTACTAAGATTTTTGTTTTGGGTCTTCTGAGTAATTTCTGAAGGTAAATTTAGGTTCTTGAAATGAATATTGTAAATAACATAACTGTTCACCACACTGGTGGAACCCTCCGGAGAACCACTCAGAACCCTTTCAAAAAGGTTCTCTGAGAAACAAGATAAGCTACAAGTTTCAGTCAATGATTCCTCCAGTAACCTCATCATAAGGGAAAAGATATGAGGTTACGTATATGTTGAAGCTGAATCTAAAGGACCTTCAAAAGGATGTCTAGAGGTTCTTCTGATCGTTCTAAATCTAAGATGCTTCAGGTATCTTTTCATTTTTACCTTGTTTATAAAACCCTTGATTTGAGAATTAGATATAAAAGCACATAAAATAAAGCACGTAATATTTAACATACTATATGTCTGGATGATAGCTTTTCTTTGTGACCCATACAACTGGACAATCTTTTGCATTACTGATGAAGTGACATCCTGATTTTGTTGAACCCTTTCACAAATATTTCTCAGATGTTTCTGAATGTCTTCATCTGCAAGATTAATAAGGCCCTCCAGCTGACACCCAGATGGACATTTATCGTCCTACAAAAAAAAAAAAAACATTAAAAAACTGTAGAATAAGATTAATCATTTGTTTATTTTCCTGTGCTAAAATTGTTCTTTACCTTTTATTATAAAATATTTAATAATATTTATCAGTGACTGTAATTTTTATTATTAATTTAATTATTAATTAATTTAAAAAACACTTTTTGGAAGACAAGTGATCAGATTCTCCGAAATAACTCTATATAACTCTAATAACCCTCTCCTCATCAGAGCACAAAGGGTGTGTTGGCCGTGCTGGACACTGTCCAAATCTGGTTAAACCATAGTGATTCTGTTGTTTAAGACTGGATTTCAAGACCGTACACACTGCAACAAACCACACACTTGCATTAAACCTAATAATGTTTATGCTTGGTAGATGGGTGATCATGGCTAATGTTGAAAATTGCATACATATTAACAGGGTCATATCATATAATTGTAATGGTGGTAATGTTGTAAGCTCATTGTTTGTTTTACAACCTTGGTGTTAAATCAGCTATCTGTGTATCCAAACCAGTAGAGCATGACTATGGGATTATTTTAAGCAGAATATATTAATGCACTCTCAGAAAAAAAGGTACAAAAGCTGTCACTGGGGTGGTACCTTTTCAAAAGGTACACTTTTGTACCTTTTAGGTACTAATATGTACACTTTAGGTACTAATATGTACCTTTGTGGTACCAATATGGACTCTTTAGATACAAAGGTGTGCCTTTTGAAAAGGTACCGCCCAAGTGACAACTTTTGTACCTTTTTTTCTGAGAGTGTGGTTGGTAAATGCCTTTTTTAATCATTAGTGGTCAAAATGATATTATGATCTTTAGGTCAGAAAATGCCACTGGGACAACCTTTTACCTTATTTTCCCTAAAGGTGCATATTAGTACCTTAGCCTTACTCTGAAGGTACAACTATGAACCTTTTTGGGGGTAAAAAAAATGTGGGGGGGGGGCTGAGGGTGTTGCCCCAGTAACTTGTACCTTTGAAGGTACAATTTTTGGAAAAAAAAAATTTCAGACTAAATTAAGCTTTATTTATTGAAAATTTAAAGAAATCAAAATGATCTAAGTATATAAAAGTACATTGTGCTTTTTTGTGGTTGTGAATTAATTGTAGGGTATATATTTCTAGAAAATTATTCCCAAAGCAGATACTTTGAAATAAAAACACACACTGCGAAATTTAAAGTGAACACATTTATATTGGAAACATGAGGTAAGATGGTTGTGTGAAAAAGGCAACATTACATATATAGATAAAACTGATCATTCAAAACAATGGGTATCTTTCTTTTCCCCACATCCCAGTTTCACTGTTTAGACAGGTCTGATCTTCATTCTCACTACTTTGAGGGAGTAATCAGCTGGTTTGAAAGGCAGCCACACAACACCATTCTCAATCTCATAAGGGACTGTGGTGCCAGGGTCGTACTGGCCTCCTTTATAGTAAATCCCATTAAGGTTGGCTGACTGGCAGTTATTGTACCACCACCCTCCACCGTACATTACCGCACAGTTCTCCTCCCACTTATCACTGTCCCTATCAAAGGTGCTAAACTTCATGCCAGCATGTGAAAGGAAGGATCCGAGGT